AGCATTGGACAACATGGTACCCTGAGGGCTAACGGCTAGAGCATCAAACAGGAATCCCCCAGCACCATTTTCTGAGTTTGCCTCTCCAAGAAGAACTAGACCCATGGCATAACAGTGGCCCCAAGCTCCATCCCAGAGAGTTCACCCATAAGTCATGGCTGATGGTATCAAAAGCCACCAAGAGGTCCAGCAGAACCAACAGGGACAGACTCACCCTGTCCAGTTCCCTGCATAGGTCATCCACCAAGGTGGCCAAAGCTGTCTCCATTCCATAACCAGGCCTAAAGCCAGATTGAAATGGATCTAGATAATCCACTTCATCCAAAAAACCCTGGAGCTAGGAGGCCACCACATGCTCCAGAACCTTAATACAGTGTGCCTGCACCTTACGCAGGCTTGCTATCTGTAGATTTAAGCTTACGCAGACAGCAAGCCCTGCATGTTTAATGACGTGCGCAGGAGCATTAACAACGGGACTTAAGGTCTCACTTTTTTTGCATACGCAGTGTGTGTGTGTGTGTGTCCAGAACGGATCCCCACTTATAATGTAATACTGTAATAGAGTTGGAGGGACTCATTTTCCATCTTCATGCATGAACCTTCCACCCATGTCAGAGGGGAAATGTTGGTGGATGGCTTCTTCATCTTTGTCCTGTCTTAACCTCTCCATAGGCCTCTTCAAGCTGCTCACCCTGGAGCTGGAGGGAAACCAACTGCATGATGGGAACGTGCTCCCTACTGCCTTCAAGCCCTTGGGCAGACTCATCTATCTGCGACTAGACCGGAACCGCTTTCGGGCAATCCCATCAGGTTTGCCTGCATCCTTGCAGGTAAGAGGCTGGTAGTGGTGGGCAGGATCTAGCTAGCTCCCTTAGAGTCAGTGGGTTTTCAAAAATGGTGATCCCTGGCAAATCAAGGGTGCAAGAGGAAATTAATGAAGGATTGATATTAAGGCTATCAAATGACTACTGGTCATAACAGACTATATGTTGCTTCCATGTTCAGAGGGAACATATTTTTGATACAGAAGAATGCCATCTGTAAAGAAGGTCACATGGCCATTCAAGCTGTTCTCTAGCAACTGATGCATTTACAGAAAGGGTGGGCAATTGCAGCACTCCAGATTTTTGGAGTCCAATCAACCCTGAGCAGTGTAGCCAATTATGGGAGTTGCAGTCAACAAACATCCAGAGGATGAAGGTTATCGACCCTTCCTCTAAATGTGTAATTTGTTTGGAAACAACCAAGGTGGCCACATGTTCCCCCCCCCTTTATTTATTTATTTATTTTACAAAGGACAGCCCCTTTTACAACAGGTCGTGTAGGATTTTCTTCTATTTTAAAGTGTTCTGTATTTTAATCCAATCCAAATCTGGTTTAAAGATAAAGTATGATGAGAAGGGCCTTGGAATTGCCCATCAATGGTTAGGACCTTGGGAGCATAATAAACTAGTGCACCATTAATACTCTTCTCCACTACCATGAAATGCCTTGTTTTTCTATTTGAAATTATAGCAATTATTTCTAAATTTGCATCCGAACATATACATGACTATATGCTGTTTTAATGCGCATCTCTGTGTTCTTTTGTCCTCTCTTCTGGCTACACATCTCATCTCTCTCCCCCTTTTTGACAGTTTGCAAGTGAACATCCTGTGAAGAGAGGGCAAAGGCTATTGCCCTCATGTCCTGTTTCCCAGAGGCCCTTGGTTGACCCACTATGGGCTAGGATCCCCCTTTGGTCTCATTCAGCAGGGGCTTCCTTTAATGTTCCTGACTTTAATCTCTCCTTAAAAACTACTCTGGCTCCAGCATATTTTTAATTTATGGATTATGTGAGAGATGATGGAGACAATATGCTACACATTTCTGAGCTTCACAATGAGATTTTTATGGACTTCAAATCCCAGAATCCCCATTCTGGCTAAGGCCTCCAATGAGTTATATTCCAAAGAAGCAGCATTTCTATGCTGCGTGCTATATACACCCCAAATCTATCACAACAATAGGGCTGAAAATGTGGACCAAGGCAGAGGAAGAGTGGTCGGCATGGAGTCAATGGGGGGAAAGCTGGAGGCCATCTTCAGAAGGCAGATTTAAAGGATCCCTCCTCTGTTCCCACTTTTTAGGAACTGCACCTTGATTCCAACCACATTGAGGAAGTAACTGAGAGTGTACTTAACAAAACCCTGAATCTCACAGTGCTGGTTTTGAGCAACAACAAACTCCAGGAAGATCATATTGCTCCACGTGCCTGGATAGACCTCCCGTGAGTAACTCCAGTAATTTCGGCACTAGGGATGGAATGGAGGACTGCTGATCCTTGGATGGCTAAGATTGCCACCTATTCTCTTCACCTCAACTCAGAGTTTCTTATACACCTTTAATAGGGGTGTGATGACAATCAGAAATCCAGAAGTTAATTCTTTGAACGTAGATGCCAATGCAGTTACCCCAATGAACACCTGCCTCCTCCACAGCATGGTCTAGGCGCTCTGCCAGGCTGAAAAAGAACACTCCTTAGAACTACAGTAACATCCAAAATCCACAAAACCATGATACCTTTATATTTTGTGCCTTTTGGTTGGTCCAATAAAGGTACAGTTGGTCCCTCCATATCCATGATTTTTTATCCACAGATTCAACCATCCATGGCTTGAAAATATTTTATAAATTCCAAAAAGCAAACCTTGATTTTGCCATTTTATATAAAGGACATAATTTCATCACTCCGGTGTATTTAATAAGAATTGGGCATCCACGGATTTTGGTATCCATGGTGGGGGGGGGGCTGTATCACAGTTTTGTAGATTTTGGATGTTATTGCACTTTGCTATATAGCCAACACAGCTACCTCGGATGTGTTTACCCCATAGAAGGACTTCTTTTTCTAGTCATTATAATCTCTTTCTTTTCTGGAGTCAGACTGCCTCTGTCTCTTGAAAGGTAAAGTGACCTTTCAGTGCCTGTCAAGAGACAGAGGCGGTGTGTCAGGAAATTGATTCTAAATGGGCAACAAACCCAGTCCTCCTGATAGACTGACTAAATACAAGAAGGACAGGACTCCTGAATCACTGAGACTTCTGTAGAAGAGGGACTTTTGGCTTGGCATAGAGCCAGAGTGGCGTAGTGGTTTAAATGTTGGACTTGGACTCTGAAAGACTAAGGTTTGGCCATGGAAACCTACTCAGTGACCGTGGGGCAAGTTACACTCTCTTGGCCTCAAGGGAAGGCAAAGGCAAACCCACTATGAACAGAACTTGTCCAGAAAACCTTGTGGTAGGTTTGTGTTGTTGTTGTTGTGTGCCTTAAAGTCATTTCTGACTTATGGCTACCCTAAAGTGAACCTATCATGGGGTTTTCTTGGCAAGTTTCTGGGGGGGGGGGAAGAGAAGGGTGCTATTACCTTCCTCTGAGGCAGAGGGTGTGTGACGTGCCCAAGGTCACCCAGTGGGTTTCATGGCTGGGATCCGAACCCTACTCTTCAGAATCCTAGTCCAACACTCAAATCACTGTGCCACACCTTGCCTTAGGGTTGCCATAAGTCAAAAGTCACTTGAAGGCATGCAACAGCAACAACATTTATGGTAAGAAAAATGGAACCTGCTATAATTTTCCTCCTCCTCCCAGCTCCTTCCTTCCCTGTGGTTGCTCCACCTTCCCTTACACCAGCGGTTCTCAAATAGTGGGGCGTGCCCCCCAGGGGGGGTGCAAGGCTCCGTAAAGGGGGGCCCGTTACGGCTGGAGAGAGGGAGATTGTCCCAGCACAGCCCCAGTAGTAGCCCGACGTGCTCTATCCTGATTGGTCAAACCCACCCATGTGACTATTTACAGTCGCGTGGGGGGGCACGAAATGTTTTCTTCTTTCCTGGGGGGGCGTGACAGAAAATAATGGAGAAGCACTGCCTTACACAGTCTTCTCTTTCATGGCCATTAAATGGTGGTAACCATGGTTCAGGAATCCTAAAGAAGGGCTTTATGTTTCTTCCTTCCTTTTGCCTTGATAGGAAGCTGGAGGCACTGGATCTGTCCCACAACCGCTTGGCACACGTGCCCTCATTCCTGCCCCGGCACCTGAAGCAGCTGACCCTGCATCATAACTGCATAGAACGTATCCCTGGCTATGTCTTTGCCCACATGAAGCCAGGCCTGGAATTCTTGCATCTCTCACACAATGTCTTGCGGGATGATGGCATCCATGCAGTCTCTTTCTTGGGGCTCTACCGCTCGCTGGCAGAACTGCTCTTGGACAATAACCAGCTCCAGTCCATTCCCCGTGGCATCTTGAACTTAAAGGGCCTGCAGGTTCTGCGACTGAGCCACAATCGCATCAGGTAAAAAGAGTTGTCTGCCCATTCTGGCTGAGGAATGACTGCAGCTCTATGGCAGAGCACATGCCTTGCAGTTTGCTCCAGGGCTATACTGCACCAATCTTTATAAACAAAGAAGCCTAAATAACCTGAAGGCACCAAATCCTGTCCTATCTTCGAAGCTAAGCAAGGTTAGGCCTGGTTGGTACTTGGATGGGGGACTGCTAAGCAAAACCAGGGACGTTATCACACGGGGCAAATCTGCTGGTTAATCCACACAAA